GTGACGCCCCGCGTTACGCGCTTGCGTTTTCCGGGTGTGTTCTGCATTGCGTTTGTCACTGGAATTTCGAGTTATGAGTGTTGTAGTTTGAGCAATTTGGTGCAAAATCTGCAAAATTAAGCAGCCCGAAAGACGAAGACACAAGAAAATGCACACAGGACCAGCGCTGATTCAATGAATTGGCATTTGTCCTGTGGGTGCGTTTTCGTGCTGTTTAACTTTGCAGATCCCTAGGCATCGTCGTTCGACGGCATGAGCACGGGTACGTTTTTTTTTTTTTTTTCTAGCGTTCGGCAGAATCTGGAACGACATAACTGAAGGCGTCTCCCGCGACCAATGAAATGCATTCCGCAGACGTGTTTTTATGGCTTCAGTTTTTTTTGCATTGTTGGGATTTTCCTGATGTTTGCAATATCTCAAGTGAGCTTTACATATCAGCCGAAAGAGGGCTGTTATTTCACCGTTCTCAAGTCTCTCACCAAACCCCTCACACAATGTGTTCGCCATGCCCCGCCGCGGTGGTCTAGTGGCTAAGGTACTCGGCTGCTGACCCGCAGGGCGCGGGTTCGAATCCCGGCTGCGGCGGCTGCATTTCCGATGGAGGCGGAAATGTTGTAGGCCCGTGTACTCAGATTTGGGTGCACGTTAAAGAACCCCAGGTGGTCTAAATTTCCGGAGCCCTCCACTACGGCGTCTCTCATAATCATATAGTGGTTTTGGGACGTTAAACCCCACATATCAATCATCAATCAATGTGTTCGCCTTTTACAATTTTTTTAACTGCCGGCAGAAAAAAATCCATGCGGGTCAGCTGAGCTGTGGGTCTGAGGGCGTGTCTGCTTCGATCAGTCAGTAAAACATTCTTCTTATGAGCTAGGTTTGTTGGTTCGAAACTAACCGACGATAATGTTGTTTCGTTCGTACTTGCTTTGTTTTCAATATTCATTTCTTTATAGCAATTCTTATTACGTGATGCAGTGAAGGGCGGACAGCTTTCATCGTTGGGTCGTCATAGAAATGTTTAGGTATTTAGAACTTCATCAACGTCTTAACGTCAAGTTCGGGGTTCACAATTTGAAGCGCAAGGAAGAAATACTCAAAAATACAATTACGGATATGCGTCGACTGACTGTAGATACAAAGTTGTGTGAGCTCTAGTCGCCTCCAGCCATAATTGGCCTGCTAAAGTTGAGGTCTAAAAAATGCTATACTCTATATGATGTGTTCGGGTGTAAAACCTGGCGAGTGTACAGCTCATGCTGAATACGTGAAAAGTGCATCACTTAACGTGAAACTAATGATACATCCGTGCATAGGAATATCAGCGAATAGTCTGATTGTTCTTCTGTAACATGTTACAAAACACCTGCAGGCTATGAAACTAGATCAAAGTTGCATAGATCATAAATTTGTCATGTTGTGCGTGAAGAAGGGCAAACGTTTTATACGTTTTTATATGTTTTTTTTTCATCAGCGAGTTTTCAATCTGTTGCATTGTTTTTATTCGTTATTTTTTGCATATCGACTGTTTGTTCATTCAACATGGCTGAGCGCAAGCAGGTGGAGAGCACGGTGCGTCTAAACGCAACTGAAGGAGGTTCCAGACGGCTTGCGACTCTGAAATCTTCTTCCATATATTCTACTTTGCTATAACGACATCATATTTATTATTATTTGACATTAATTACATTTTTTTTCTGAAACACGTGAGCCGCATGCATTTTGTGTTCTGTAAGTGTTTTAGATCAGTTCAAGCCAGAGGTGAATACATTATTGGTTATTGCATAGTCGGTCATTATCATGTGATCGCGTTACGCGTTTACCTCCGCACGCCAGCATGGCGTTGCCGTCAAACGACAAATTGAAGACAAAGCGCTTCAATGAATTACACAGTGGTTAGCCAACGTATATTATCTTACATTCTGCTCGGTGTGTGGTGGAGTGGAAAGGAAGAGAGATTCTAGGTGAATAATACCTAGAACCTCGCTCCTCACCTTTCGTGTGCAAATGTCACCCGGCGGTGCAATTGTTTCATTGAACGTATGTAGGAGCCAGCGAACCAGTCTAGATATCACGAATAATTAAACAAACTTGATAAAGTGACCGAAGGTTACCACCTGCTGCCATTTATTTTTATTGGGATACAAATATTATCATATTATCTGGAATTTCACCTCCCAAAATTGTTATGAGATATTTGAAGGCTCCAGAAGTTTCGACAAAGTGACACTCTTTAACGTGCACTTACATCGCACAGTACACAAGCCTTTACTACCATTTTGCCTCAACCGAAATGCGACCGCCACGACCACGATCGAACCAGTGAACTGGTCAGCAGCCGAGTGCCATAACTGATACGCCACCGCGGCGGACATTTCGTTTTCTAAAAGTTAATTCGAGTGCAAAAACACGACACGATCACTGACACACGCACACACCCATGCATCAAACACACAAAACGCTGTGTGTGTTTGATGCATGGGTATGTGCGTGTGTGAGTGATCGTGTCATGTTTTCGTGCTCGAATTAACTTTTGAAAATGCTCTAGGAACTATCCCAAGAACAAGTCCTTTTACAAGGACATTTCTTTTATACGGAGGATGCTTGAGCTTCGCTTTCAAGACTCGCACGCGTTAGCGTAATCCGCCCTCGTGCAAACCACCTTCAACTATCCTGAAAGGACAGGAACGCTTTTTCACGTAATATTGGCCATTGTAAACTGTCCTGAAATATTTACTGTGCACACAGTTACAAAGGGCCCACTGTGCCATAATGCTTCATTTTGCAAACTGGCAAAGTACCCACTACGCATCTGTAAGGAGCCATCCATACCTGTAAACTTTGTAATGGGCTCCTTTTGCACCCCACTCTTCACGCAGTTCACATGTTTTTACGCCTAGTGCGTTTCTACAATTCTTCCATGCAGTATTATATGCGTTAAGAAGACCCCGCCCTTTAAACGACATTCTAAGTGTTAGTCTTTTCTTTTTACGAAGCACTGGTGGGGTTTCGTGAGCACTTGCATGCTTACCACGCAGAAGGCCGGGGTTTAATTCACACTCAGACTGGATGATACTTTACGCTTTATATACTAGTAGATTTGTCAAAAAACTAAACGTTCGCGAGCATTGGTTGGACGATGTAGGAACGAGCAAAAAATTGCCTGCTGCCACAGTGACGTGAATCTGGGAACATTGATAACCAGTGCAATTTCTGAGCATGGCGTTCAGAGACTATTCATCGCTCACGACATCCCTAAGGTATCTGAGGCTTTTGTGTAGCATTTAAGTCCTATACACTAACCATCAGACGCACGTGTCATTTAAGTGTTATAAAAAAAATTGCTAATAAGAACATGTGCCGATTCTTAATCCTGAAGATTCACCAATATTCTTTTAATTGTAAATGTTGTTCACTACGACCAGTAAAGTCAACGTAAAGTATTACTTCAAGTGAACGGAGGAATATTTTGTTCATTCAAATGTAAAAATGTATTCATGCCTGGATATTGTCGAATAACCAAGAGCGCAGACAAAACAAATATCATGGGAAGTGCCTGAGGAACGACTTGGAGAAATAATTTATTGCGGCAGATACTTGTGCTTCACGCAAACTTTTTTGAGCCAGCTAAGCAAGGTTCGATAAAAATTTGAAGGAGCTGAGGAATCGTAGAGCATTGTACGGGGGACTGTTCAGCAACATTAAGTGCAGACAATCGATGACAATCTGATTGATATATGGGGTTTAACGTCCCAAAACCACCATATAATTATGAAAGACGCCGTAGTGGAGGGCTCCGGGAATTTCGACCACCTGGAGTTCTTTAACGTGCGCTCAAATCTGAGCACATGGACCTAACACGTTTCGGCCTCCATCGGGCATGCAGCCAAAGCCGCCGGGGATTCAATCCCGCGACCTCAGTAGCCGAGTACCTTAGCCACAAGACCACCACGGTGGGGCGACCCCGTGACAATCTTCCACAGCACACCCTAGAACAACAGACAATTGAGGTAGTTGACATTTGTATTACGCGCAGAAAAACTGACGTTTGTGAACATGGGTGCAAGACAAGGAAAGAGATAACAAAAGGGGCGTTGAGTGTTTTAATAAAGCGTTGAGTACACAATCTCCATGAGTACTTCAAGGAAGCCATACCTGGCTCGATCATTAATCACCATCCAGCGACCACCAATATTCATAGGCTTCCGAAGAATGCGTTCCACAATCACAAAATCAGCGATGAAAATTGCCCTCAATGTTACTGTCGTCATGGTTTTTCACTCCAGTGCAATAACACTAAAGCTGGCGGCATGAGTTAGCGCACAACATATGCCAGTAGCACTGCAAAAATTTGTCATACTAAATCTGGATACCCCGCAACCACTGTGGTGGACAGTGGTTACGATGCTCGGCTCTTGCGCAGTACGTCATGGGTCCGATCCCGGCAGTCGCAGTAGCCCTATCGATAGAGATTAAAAAGCTTGATTGTCGTGTACTTGAATTTTAGGGGCATGCGTTTTCAAATTCTACGTGTTTAAAATTTTGTGAGCCCTTCACTACGACATTTCTATAATCATATGGTAGTTTTGGTACATAAAACCTCATAAGTGATTATTACCAATATTATGTCAAGCTACTTTGTTAAGTCCTGTCATTTGTGCAGGTAACCTACTAAATTACACGCACTATTTTGTGCACATTCTTATATTCGAGAAACTGAGCGACAAACCCCACCTGCCATTCTGCCCATGAATTAGGCTATCCCCATTCTCGCCGTTCACTTCACCATAAAATCTACTTTTACGAGCAGGATAAAAAGCTGTATTCGTAAAATTTAAATAGTAAAACTGGTATTAGTTATGTTTCTCATTCTAAAAGTGAAGGCGTGCACACACGGACAACAGAAGAAAGGCGAGACGCCGGAAAAATAAAGTTGTGTTGCATCAATAAAAACTTCTCAGCAGGCAATACATATAAGTGTTATTGATGACTTTTCGCAGAGCGGGCCTGCTGAGGCTGTGCGGACTGCAAAGCACAGTGGAACCCAACAGTATGCCGACTATCGGTGCTGACCGAGGCTTTATGGCCACCGCCAACGGGCTGCTGAGGATAGCTGAAATTGTAAGTGTCTTCAAAAGAAGTGCATTTGTCCCCTGTGGTCGACAAAGGAGAAATACGCAGTAGCGGGAGCTGTGATTTCCGGCATCACCAGGTAGAATGCGTAAGTGCACCGAGCATCTGGAGGCGTCAAACATCAGGTGGTACAAAGGAAAGTTAACCTTATCGTAAAAGTAAACGTAGCCAAGACAACCATGACCTTAATATCAGAACTAGCAGTAACCCAGGTTGCATCCCATAAGTAACAATAGAAGGAGTCAGAAAACCCTTGGAGGGATAGAAAAGAGGCAAAGCTGCTGGTGAGGATCAGGTAGCATCACATCTGCTGAAAGACGAAGGACAGATTGCGTTAGAAAAACTAATCACCCTGTTTACGAAGTGTCTCCTGACGGGAAGAGTACCAGAATCTCGGGATAATGCTAACATCATCTTATAACATAACAAAGAAGATGACAAAGAATGAAGAATTACAAGCCGATCATCTTGTTCTCCATCGTATACAAGCTATTTGCAAAGGTAATCACTAACAGAACTAAGAAAACACTATAATCCAATCAACCAAAGGAACAAGCAGGATTTCGAACAGGCTACACAACAATCAACCACGTTCATACTATCAATGAGGTATTAGATAAATGTTCAGAATACAGTCAGTCACTATACATATAACGAGAAGGCGCTTGATTCAGTAGAAATATTAGTAGTCATACAGATACTGTGGGATCAGAGTGTCGATGAAGCATATATAAACATCATGAAAGAAATATACAAGGGATTAACTGCTCCGACTATGCTCTATAAAGAAAACGACAGAATGCCAATCAAGAAGAGTGTAAGGCCGGGAGATACAACTCCCCAATTCCATTTACTGCGTACTTACAAGAAGTTTTCAGAGGCCTAGAATGGGAAGAGTTAGGAATAAGAGTTAATGAAGAGTGCCTAAGTAACCTGCGCCCCGCCGATGACATTGCATTGCTGAGTAATGAAGGAGACGAATTCCAAGTTATGATTATGGAGTTCGATAAGGAGAGCACACAGGTAGGTCTTAAAATTAATCTGCAGAAAATGAAAGTAACGTATAACAACCTAGGAAGAGAACAGCGCTTCAAGATAGGTAACAGTGCACTTGAAGTTGTAAAAGACTATGTCTACTTAGGACAGGTAATAACCGTGGAGCCTAACCACAAGATTGAAGTAGCTAAAAGAATAAAAATGGGGCGGAGCCCACTTGGCACGCACCCTCAAATCATGACTGATAGATTGGTACTATTTTTCAAGAGGAAGGTATATAACAGCTGCATCTTGCGGGTATTTGGCTACGGAGCAGAAACCTGGAGATTTACAAAGAGGGTTCAGTTTAATTTGAGGATGATGCAGCGAGCGATGGAAAGGAAAATTATATGTATAACCTTAAAAGACAAGAAGAGAGCGGAGTGGATCAGGGCACAAACTGGGGTTAAATATGTCATAGTTGAAATCAAGATGAGGAACAGGAGGGAAAGGAAAGGCAGGGATGTTAGCCAGTCTGGAGCGACCGGTATGCTACCCTACAGTGGGGACAGGAATGAGGGAGTTTGAAAGATGGAAAAAAGGAGAGAGAGGAGAGCTCGCACACGCGTTTGGTTCACAAATGCAGATGACTTGGAACACATTGACGCATAGTAACTGACGAAAGTCTGAAAAGACGCGGTTTTAGTCCACTGGAGTTGCACTGAATGATGAATGCTTCCTTGACTTCATGGAAATGATGACGATCATTAGCCGTATTTCTACTCAAGTGATTCAAGTTCTGGGCTTAAGGCGTCCAGTACTTTGAGAGCGCTTTGAGCAGACGTTGTTCTCATGTCCAAAAAGTTCTCCCGGATGGCATCCATGAGAGAACGAAGCATAGTTATGATTTTGCCCTCTTTCATATGTGTGTCATCAGTGGTTGGTGAAGACTCCTGAGGGGGCGTGGTCTTCTGACATTCTATGGTTAGCGGATGACTAGGAAGAATAGGCCATTCTTCTGTAGAGATAGTCCTCTCCGTAGTCTTCTTTGAATTAGTCGGTCTTGTTGCAGCTTGACTTAATGGTGCAGCAGTAGAGGTGGCGCTGTCATTTCGAGTTTGCGCAGTCGAGGTCGAACGACGGCGCTCACGCCGCTGCCGAGGCTGGACTGTTTCGGCAGCATCCCTGTGGGTCTAATTGTCTGTGACTATTTGCTTAAGCACCACGTGCTCCTTCTTATTTCGAGGGCACTCTTTCAATAAGGCAGTGTTTGAGCCATTTCAGTTACCTCATTCAAGAAATGTGGATTTACACGCACCTTCCAAATGGGTTTCTGCACACCAGGGGCACCGTAGGGAGTTCGGACACATGCCCTTGACGTGACCTAGTTTAAAGCACTGATGACACTTTAGTGGCTTTTTCACAAAAGGCCGAACGGGGTGCCGAAAATGTCTGGCTTTGACATGGGATGGTCAAAGGCGGCGTACTTTCCAAGGCGGTGTACCTGAGTGATGAGAGTACCCTCATTTGCCAGTTTGATGAGGGTAGGCAAGTGAGTGTAGGGAATCTAAATGTCTACGTCCTATATCACACCAGTCATGGATGTGTTGTCAATCGGTGTAAAGGGGCGCACTTTGATGCCACCTAGCTCACTCTCTTCTTTGAGTGGTACAAGCGCGTTCACGTAAAATACGTCTATGGCAAGTATATTTTTTCGTGCATTTACTCTGATTTTCTAGATTTCATTAGGTACCACACGTTCCAGAAAAGTGGAGACTGCTTGCCTGTTCAGCAGTAGCAGGTTTCCTGAGATCTCTTCTGGCACGAACATGATGACGTGTGGCCAGTGTTCATGCCTTGACTTCATAGTCGCTGTACTCGCACAGGTGGGCGAGGCTGCGCTGACGATCTTCCTCTTCGCCCTCTTGCTCCGGGCAGGAATGAAATCATCATTGGATGAGTCGTCTTCCGAGGCGGCTGAGTACAGATCTGTGTCCTCGCTGTCACTGAGTGAGGTTCCTCTATTCCTCGCAGTGGTCGGCCGAGATTACTGCTGAACAGGCGGTCCTCCGTAAGGCCCCGCGTCTATGGCCACAAGACGCGGAGCCGAGGAACCAGAGAAAAACTGAAGGTTGCACCGAAAAAATTGGATAGCACAAAGAGAAGCGCTTGGATACACGAATACTTCGTCATCATTCTCTTGAAATCAAGAAGAAGAAATTAACATAGGCCGGGCATGTAGTGCGTAGACAGGATAACCGCTGGTTATTAAGGGTAACTTACTGGATTCCCACAGAAGGCAAGTGGGTTAGGGAGAGAGAGAAATTTAGGGGGGCAGACGAGATTAAGTTTGCGGGTATAAAATGGCAGAAACAAGCACAAGACCAAGCTGGCTGGCGGAACATGGGAGATGCCTCTGCCCTACAGTGGACGTAGTCAGGCTGATCATGAAGATAATGATGATGATGAATGAACCCTTGCGTTTTGTTATACCGCATGCGTGAACCAAGGGCAAGGTGAGAGAAAGAGAGGAAAGACCAAACAAAGCAAACCAAATCATTCATATCGCAATATAGTGACTCACAGATTTCTCGGAATTACTACAAGTACCTACATCACCCTAATCTCTTGTATGACCCACATGAACAGCGTCCCACTGAATTTCACAGATGTTGAAGTTTACAGGCGGAATCACGAAAAACAAGCCTTTCCGCCTGTAAAGTCAACGGAAATCATCTCTTGTTCATGCTGGCTAGTACTTACAAGGCTCTAGGTTGCTCAAACACAGTCTGTGTTTTTGTTTTAGTTTGTCAATGTGTGTATAGACAACGGCAACAAATACAGCAGCTATTTATAATCCTGTAGAAGCCGACTTTACGGTAGAAATGCAGAGTGGGCGTCCTGTATGATCAAACCCATCCACAGATTTTGCCTCTTCATCCCAATTCTTATGAATATTTACGACCATCTGTGCACAATTTTAGGTGATCGTCTAAGTGAAACAGAAAGCGCAAAATGATGACTTTGATTCTTTATGTACATGGCATTACACCGGGTCGTCAACGCTTAGCTCCTCTACCTTTTTTTTTCTTTTTTTCAGCTGTATCAATAACGCCCCCCGCAATTTTTTCTACAAGTAGTGTGGAGATCTGTAGTATCTCATTCATCCCTCCCGTATACAATATAGCCCGAAATCATTATGGAAAAGTCTAGCGTGGCCCCGGTACTCTAGTGGCTAAGGTACTCGGCTGCTGACCCACAGGTCGCAGGATCGAATCCTGGCTGTGGCGGCTGCATTTCCAAGATGGAAGCGGAAATGTTGTAGGCCGGTGTACTCAGATTTGGGTGCACGTTGAAGAACCCCAGGCAGTCGAAATTTTCGGAGCCCTCCATTACGGCGTCTCGCATAATCATATAGTGGTTTTGGGACGTTGAACCCCCCATATCAATCAAAAGTCTAGCGTGGCATAACTAACATTCGTTTCTTTCGGAACATCGTTTACCTGGCTCCGCCATGAAGGAGATGGTTTCCAGGTCATGTAGCACTGCAGGTAAACCTTTTTCAAAAAGCGTTTATGCCGTTTTCTACTACACGTGAAGGAAGCGAGTGAAAGTCTGCGTGCAGAATTTGGTGCTTTTAAATGTGCTCTCAGCGAACAGCACCCGCAACACACACGCGTAGAAACAAACGGTGGAGGTGGGTTTTGTAGGCAGTCATTGCGTGAAAGTTGAAGTTATTAAAGTTTTCCTCGTCTCCATTCAACAAAGCATTGCGCACGACTTTCCAGAAATGGTACTTTTTTTGCAAGCATATAGACTTGTTACAAAGTTGAAATGTAATTAGTCTCATGGGAAGTGCATTGTAACAATTTCCATAGAAAAACACTTAAAAGTAAATGAGCTAGCAGGAGTTGCTTGCGTGCTGGTCTGGACAAATCGTATTGACACTAGGTAAAAAAGCCATGAGTGTGTGACCGGCCAGATGGACCACCTGAATAAGACAAGCTACCAGCAAATAACTGTCGCGGTAAGCGTAGAAAGTCTGATCAAGGATGTAAAGACGCCATAAACTGGCTGGAGAAGTGGCCTCTGGTTTTGTTCTACACGTGGAAACATCTCGCGCTGTCTAAAAAGGTGGATGTGAAATGTGTCCTGTGCGCACCGGACAGGCTAGCACGCATGTAGTACGCTGCCATAAACATGTATATCAATACCACTTGCCCCAAGAAGCACGCATTACATGTTTCGTCGCGTGTGTAGATGGAAGGATCAATAGGATTTGACTTTCATTTAGTAAAAGCTACGTTGGTTGAACTGAAAGGGGCGAAAACTAAGCTTGGGACGTATCAATGCAACACGAAGACGATTACATGTCCCGGACATTTCACAGATTATTGTCGTATGTGCAAGTGCCACACAGTTTTGTACGCTACATGTGTTCCAAGATGTTTCCTTTTATATTTAGAAATAGACTATTGTATGAAGCCATCTGAACGACGAGAATGGCCGATGTCAATGCACGTTAAATAACACGAGATGATCGAAATTGTCGGAGCTCTAAACTACGGTGTCTCTCATAACCATATCGTCATTTTTGGACGTAAAGCCCCAGATATTAGTATTGTAGTTACGACGAGGCACGTAAATAATTGTGTAAGCGGGCATGATGAGTGTGCCCAGTCTGCATGACCTAAAAGTAGGTGGACAGCTGTACATCGGACTTTCGATAATACGCGTACGCATTGGTACAGTCTTTTAGTTTTCTCAAATTGATTTCCTTGCTACGATTTACACTTTGCATACCTTTGAACCATCAGTCGTAAATACAGTGTCCTTCTATCAAGCTTGATTCCTTTCTCTAGGTCTTTTTTTTTTCTGAAAGAATTCATGTATCTTACACTCAAAAGACATAGGCCACTCTTGTTGTTGCTGTGTTTTTTTTTGTTTCACAGCTCGAGAAAGATTCCGTGTGATTAACGCTGAATGAATCCAACTACACCTGTTGTTTTTAATGTGTTGTGTAGCCTTTTCAAGTAACTGTGACCTCGGGCGAACTTTTCGAATATGCGTAACTGAAATTTACTGGTCACCTAACTCGATTCATTAAAAAAAATTGTTGCGCAGATTACTGTATTGGCACGATGGACCTAAGAATTTCTCTATCCCTCTCTCTTTTGATCTTTCTTTCTCTCTCTGTCTGTTCTCAAGCTACGTGAAAAAAATTGTATGTGCCACAAGAAATCCAAAAATGCAAAACGACAGATAATTTTGTAGGAACAATATGAATGAAGTAGGAACAATATGAATGAACTTGTGCCCTTAATCAGATTGTTTTAAATATTGCCTCTTCAATTCGAAGCTGACGATTCTTTTTCCACCCTTGCAGACTCTGGGCCTGTGCGGGCTCATCTGTATCGAGTCAATCAGCGGGGAGTGTTACTACGCCTATATACACCGCTACGAGTTCAGTCTGTTCGTCGTCATCACATCGTTCCTGTTCGCTTTCTTGGTCATCATGGTGTTCGTGCTGCGTGCCCAGGAGGCCCTTGCCAGATGCTTCAACGTACCGCTCTCCGTAAGACCACTGCATTACAGCTCCGTCTCCTGTCGCAAAGAAACGAGTAGCCGCATGTGTGCTGACACAGTCGCGAATTTTCCCGAGCGTACGAGCAGTCGCATGAAGCGGCACCAACGTCATCACCTCCAGCTTTTATTGTATGCGCAACCCCGACAAAAAATGCGAGATGTCCTTGATTCTTTATACGAGGTTATGCTAGGCCTTCATCGACTTGGTTTCCTTACTATTTACCTGTGCCGTAAAACCACCCGAAATCTTTCTATTAGTGGGCTGATGATAAACGCTACCCAGCATGCACCACTCACGTTCGAAATACAGCAGCATGAATTTTTTTGAAAAAATAATCCAATTTGAAATAAACGAATTAAGCAAAGTTCGTCTTGGAGGCCCTCTTTTAATTTTGGTTCTAAACGACTGACACTTCTTTGCTTGAGCGTGTATACAACTTTTTTTCTTTATAATTCTAACCCTTTCTCCTTTTTTTTACCCTTCCTTGCCTTGTACCTACATATGCCTTCCCCAGTGCAAGGGTATCAAACCAGAGAATTTCCTTCTGGTTACCCTTCATGTCTTTCTCTCTCTCTCTCTTATTTCTATTAGATATGCTTATGCGGTAATTCATCTGGAACTAGAAAAGCTTTTGTGAAAAATGGCTGCACTCGCAAGAAACCTCTGCACTTTTTCGAGCTTACGCCCCAAGAAAGTACTGGCTGCCTTCCGCACACTTTATTTAGCAACCTTTTATGTACCTTTTTTTACGCGACACACAGAATAACTCGATTGAACGAGCATGTCTTTCGTTCCCAAAATATTCTTGGCAAGCAAAATTCACTGAACCAAATATGCGCAAAATTTACAAAAATGATTGTTTTCGGATGAATAAGCCCTAAATATTTTGTCTTTCTTTAGAACGTGCAGAACATGGACGTCCTTTTGGCCATCTGTCTTTAGAACATGCAGAACTTTGTGTATTATTTTTGGTTTTTCCTTAAGCATGACTCAAATGGGTTCTAAGCTCAATACTGCAAACCCAACTGCATTGTACTCGAATAAATCAAGTTATCCTTTATATTGAGCTATTTTCCAACACTACAAAGCTTTAAATGGACACTAAAGAGACACAATGACAATTGGTTCAAACTGACAAACTACACTCTCAGAACTCTAATGCCACATGTTTCACTTTCATTGGTTCATTATGAGTGGAGAGTTTCAAGGCAGAAGTTTCGTTTTAAAATTTCGCACTGAGAACCCCGCGCGTAACGTGAAAATTTTCAAAATGTATTTTTCGGAATTTCGCGACATTAGATGCATGAAATTTTTTGAAAGTTCGTATGCTAGGTCTATGGCTACCACATATGATAATGTACTTAATTTTTATCAATTACCAGCTACGTAAGACCCAGTAGAAACTTTCGAAATTTATGACGTCATGGTGTTTGGTGCGGGAATTTCAAGGTGGCGTCTCCACCCCCATTTATTTTTTCGCGCGTTTTGTCGCTTACCAAGCGTCGCGTCAGAGTGAGTATGGTGTTTTCCGGCTTGTGAAATTCTACTTTACTAATAGGCGACAAATTGTTTCGCGCTTCAGTTTCCCTTAAGCTTCAATACGTAGGAAAATCTAGGGCTACATCAAAAAAAAAAAACAGCTCATTCATACATCGAATATAGGATAGCACGATACATCGCAATAAGTTGGCTTCGTATCACAACTCGGTTTTTCCTCGTTTAGTAGGACTTTCCCGCACGCATTTTAGGGAGCCAGTGGTTTGGTTTGCAGGACGCCGCATGAATCGAGTAAACACTACTGCTTGCCGTCACACTTTTTTACCCCCGATTTCTCCCATTATTCGTCCAAATTTATCCCATGATTCCTTCTCATCACACTCGTCTGTTCATCATGCGCTGTCAGCGTTCGCTTCTCCGCGTTTCTGCGTTCGCTTTGTTAACGCGATGGCTGCCGTGAAACGAAATAAACTGCCATTTTCCGCAAAGCTAACGATAATTATCACAAAACGTGGAAAGAATCCCAACGTTGCCACTGCGTACAACGTATCAAAAAGCTCACACAGTGCGATTGGAGAACGAGGCCAACGTTACGATCGAGGCGGGTTATAGGCAGGCGGTTTCCTACGAGTGTGCACAGTGTAAGATATTTAAGCGCTGGTTTTAACATCGATACTGTATCTTCACACGCATTGCTCACCCCTGCATATAACCTGCTACTTTAACTACAAACCATAAATTAATACCCTCCCCTACCCCCCCAACCCTACAAAAGTTTAAGGGCAAAGCTTCTTAGGCCATGGGTCGTTAAATCCTGTGTAGTCGTTGTAGTAATATGTAACCACATCTAGTTTGTGAGTTGCTCAATATATGGCATTGTGTGTATATGTCCTAGGGAATAATATAACTAGATGACGTTAGTTGTTTTCACAGCATATCAACGAGTGGAATGAGTGGGGCCAAGGGTCCACCCGTACGTTCATGTGTCATTCCGTCCATGCGTCCGTCCGTTCTCCCGTCAGTCCAACCGTACATGCTTCTGTCCGTTTTCGAGACTGTCTGTCTGTCATTCCGTCTGTCTGTTCATCCGTCCATCCGTCTGTCCGTCCGTCTGTCCGTTCATGCTTCTATCCGTTCGTTCATACTTCCGTCCGTTCATCTGTCCATCCACCCGTCTGTGCTTCCACCCGTCCATGCGTCTGTGCTTCTGTCCGTTCATCTGTGTGTCTGTATGTCTGTCCGTCCGTGCTTCTATCCATCCATTTGTGCATCAGTTCATGAGTCTGTCCTTGCGTGCGTGTCTCTGTCTGTCCATCTATGCTTCCGTCATTCCGACCATGCGTCCGTCCATGCGATCGTCAGTCCGTCCGTACGTCCAGACGGACGGACAGATGGACGCTTCGCCCCACTCGTCATCCTTCACTCCGTGGATGTGCTATAATTTTTTATTGAAAGTAGCGTGTACTGCCGGGAAGCTATCCTTCTTGAAATTTCAGGTTTAACAGTGCAAAAAAATACACGGTGGACAGAAAAAGGATGGGCAGCACTAGTCCCATTCTTTTCCTGTCTGCAGTGTATTTTTTCGCACTGTTAAACCTTAAGTATGCTAAACCAACTATACCAGTCAGCCACTTCTTGAAATATTGTAAAGCAGTGTCGTGAAACAAGCTTGCGCACTGAAATTCGCACAAGCAATATGACACGTTTTTTAAAACTTTTCACTAACTTTGTGGTATATCAAATTACTCCCCACATTTTCGTGAGTTCTTCGCATGCGGCTCTGACTGTATCAAGATAGTACGTTGTAGAAACCCGTACTAGCAAAATACGTATTCACAATACCCAATTTACATGAGCAAGAATATTTTTTGCATGCCAGATAAAAACCACTCTGCGCAAATATTTTGGTGACTGATAGCGTATGAAACCACCGACAATGTAGATATTCCCTAACTTGCGAAAGTTTCAATAGAAGAATAATTTGGGGTCACTTGTTTAAGTTGTGAAGACGACTGAGAATAATAAAACGACAGAAAACAAAACCACGCTACGCTTTCTCTCTTGTTTGCATCCTGAGTGTATGACACTGGCGTAGTAACGCTGAGGCCTTTGCAGCTGCTGGTGAGTGACAGTTTCATCGCCCTGTTCTACCTGATCGTTTGCCTGCTCGAGTTCACCGCTTTCTGCACAGATCCAGATGACAATGCTTCGACCAAAGTCGCCGGGGTAAGCATGAAGCCTTTCGCCTAAAACAAGTGAAAATAAATGAAAGCTAATTGCAGTGACCTTCGATAGCGTTTTGCCCAAAGAAATGGCAACCGAGTAGTTTTTTGAGGCACAAAAATAGCTCGAGGGACAGATCGCCACTGAAAAAAAAAAACAGGAAAAAAGGTGGGGTGCGGGCTGTTTACCATACTTTATATAGACGTCGTGTGGTTCAGTAACTGACAAAAGAAAAGACATGAAGTTATAACTCGAATGTAGGAATGGCACTTGTATAAATCAACAAATACGTTATCATCAAAGAGTAAACACGTCCCTGAGCGCTAGTATTCAGTAATAAATACGCATATCCAGCCAACAGCCCACAACACGATCCTGGCGCATTTCCAAATGTGATTTGAAATTAACAGCGTCATGCACGGTAATGGGGTGACTAACATGATTGGAAGACATTCTGGGCAGGTCACCGGCACTCGAGCGGAGTTTTAAAATTGGGTACACTGACGTCTGCTTGTTTGGGTACACATGCTATTTTGAAAGTAACAAGACACACTTTCAATGAGCATGTCGTGTGAATGAAGTGCCTAGTCATTGCCTGGTCATTGAAGTGCCTCTACAAATCTAGAGCATTTAAGAATTCTGAAAAGGACTGATAATGCGGTAACGAGGGCATCAAGGCACGTCAGACACGAGTGCCATGTGGCAGTTATTTTTGAAAAAGGAGGAAGGCGGGCGCGCCCACGGAGAAAGATGCGCGGCTTTCTCGGAAGCGATTAGGTGTAGAACGCAAAGCAACGGGAAGGTGCCACCACTGTGTCGTCTTAGCAAAGCGTTGGAAACACTAGCCTTTTTGAGCACCGCGTTGCATTGTCAGCGCAGCGTGATAAATGCTACGGTCCTTATAATTACTTGTGTGTGCTTTCTCTAGTATAAAGATGTGTTCTTATGGTACCTAAGATAAGCGCAATAACTTTTTTAAAGACTGTAGTCTTTCTTGGGCACCTTCGACGTAAAAATTTTGGTCTGTCTATCTGTCTGTCTGTTCATTTGTCTGTTTGTTCACTCTTGAGGGCACCGGGTACTTGAAACGGCCGACCCTATGCGCAGCGCCCACTAATGTTGCTGAAGATTCAGCGTTCATACTTGTGCGATTGTCCATTAAAATGTATTTATTGCACATGTCTGGGGCACCATAACAACCCGTATATAATCTGCATGTGCGTCTTTTACAAGAAAAGGCATACATAAGTAATTCTAAGTACCGTAGCGCTTATTGCGCTGCGCTGCACGAAAAGGCGAGTGGGTCCAATGCTTTACTAAGACGAGACGGTGGTGCCCCCTACCAGTCGCCTTGCGTTCTATACCTTATCACCTCTTAGACGGGCGCGCACACTTGTCGCAGAACCACGCGGTTCCTTTTTCAAGAAAACTGCCAGATGGCGCTTATGTCTCACGTGTGACGTGCCTTGATGCGCTGGTTAGCCTGCGCTGCGTGCTCGAGGCACTTTACCGCAACGCCTTCACAATACTATTCACCAATTTTCTTGCGTAGAACATCAAATAAATGTTTTGTTCACTCTCTCCTCACGCAAGACTATCGTCTTTTGACGACATTTGCAGATTACATGCAGATACGGGGCCAATTTTTTATTTGACAATCGTACAGGTACAAACGCTGAAACTTGAGCAATATTTGCGGGCGCTTCGGATGGCGTCGGCCGTTTGAGGTATCGTTTGGTGTCGTTTGGGGTATCGTTACCGCGGAAAAACAGACAAATATACAGAGAGACCGAAATTTCGGCGTCGAAGGTTCCCGAGAAAGACTATCGTCTTTAAAAAGAAAACGAAACTGTAGAAACATAGAATAGTTTTCACTTTTGAGACGTCTCAGGCGAATCTCTAAAAAGCCTTGTAAATTTTTTGCTCCGCTTCGCGCACCTCCTAACACATTTCGCAGTTTCGCTTTTCTGCACCTTCTTATGATGGCGCTGCACGTCTTTTAGCCTATGTACTGTTTACATTGAGATCACTGATCAACAAGCTCCAGTAAATGGAGGGCGAGCTCATCCAGGAAGGAATATCCTTCAAAGTGTACACTCTTTTAGGTTCTTATGGTGTGGCTGGTAGTTCTTTTGGAAAAATATGAGACCATTGACAACTACATTGCGATGCCCCGTAGTACAAGGCCGAGATGTGCTCAGGCCAATCTTCCTTAAGTGAAATTATTTTTCCTCGCTGCCTGTAATAGAATGTCTGGAATAAGCACGCACCTACAGTTATGACTGCTAGTGAATAGTTCTTACAATGGTAGAGGCTTCTAATAGATGGTTTCCTTGATTAAACCACATCCGACCAAAATTTTGAGGTTTTAAGAACAAGACGTGCACTACTAAGTGCGTAGTTCTTTCAAGGTCATTGCGCTGTACTATGTTGTGACTATGTTTCTAATACGCTCAATATTGTGTGTGGCGTAGCTTCGAGATTTGTTTCAGTGCAGCTGCTATTTTGGCTGTTTATGAACGATCTTACCAGCAATATCATTATAAGTACTGGGCTATCTACATACAATTGAGTAACGGGTAAGAAGGCTTGACTATTACCAGTTTATCACATAACGAAGATCAAAATTCTTAACTTACACCGTGTTCACATAGTTGGGTTCTTCTTGAACGTACTATGTCCCAATATATATATATATATATATATATATATATATATTCAGTTCCTAATGGCAGTGCACTTGTCTCGTAATAGCGTTATACCACAAACGGAACCAGTCATACATCTTGAGATCATCGCGAATAAAAACAAAGTTTTTTCATCATCTTCAAACATTGACTATATAGGAGTTAGCAAAGATACTCCTTCAATTTTCATAAAGTTTCATTGGTTATAGTTTCTTTTTCGTCCTTACATTGTTTTCGACATCTTCGGCCTTCTTAAGAACAGTTCGTTAAAATATAATGTTATGTAAAACAAAATTATGTACAGGGCCGATAAAAAGTTTGCGGGCATCGGCGGCATGGGAATACATGGCTTAGTTGACTGAGAACTTCTCACGGCCTCTGTACGTTGCGCTTAGGCATTGTCAGAGAGCCGGAGAGGGCTGTAGCTGAATGGCTAAAACACAATGGCTCGTTAGATGCTTGGTCTTCGACGCTATGCCAATGCCGCTCAAAACTGATGCAATGTCACCTTCTATCAACAGGTGTTCGCCATGTTCGCCATGATGTGCTTCGTGGTGTCGTCCTATTTCTCGTACAAGTTCTTCCAAGAGGAACGGCTACCAGCCCTGCCACCGCCTGGTTTACACTCGGTTACCGTCACGCAAGTGTTGCCAAAGTAACGACACCGTCTCTGCCATGGCCCGATCAGGCCGGTAGACTGCAGCGATTTCACATATATGTGGACTGAGGAACGATGCCGTCTTCGATGAGAACCACTACAGCCGAATGCCTGTTCTTCCACCATGTACATCTTTGGAAGGAGCAGGCGCCCTGGATGGGGAACGCTTGCAACAAACAGTGTGGCGGAGACTGTGCTAGTCAGAACGTGCACGTCCTGAATCGTTCGTTCCCACTGCCCTCTGACGGGAGAAGCGTCGGATACACAACAGTGGGGAGTTCGACCCGTTTCTTTTTTACTCCCTCAGACACCGCTTTGGCATGAACTACCCATATGTCGTGTGGGAATGAGCTCTTGCTTGTTTCTATATTTTTCCCCAGCGATGTCAGACAAGTATGAGTCGAACTGCCGCAGCTTCATCTGTTCCCTTACACCAAGTAGCAGCAGCCAATTCTGCCATGGGCGCATCTTGGGCGTAAGTGGCACATGCCGAATAGGAAAATGCAAGAAATAAGCATACGATGCAGATTACAATGAATGCTGTGACAGTCCTAATTCTTCAATGACATTTTCATTCAATAATTAACATAACAAGCTTCACTAAAGCCAAAATAAATATGAAGTCATCACCTTGTCACCTTCCAGCAGAATTTAAGCTTTGTCTAACCTTCTAGCCTAGAGAAAGACAGGTCCACTTGTCGAAACGTTGGCTCAACACACAACCCCTGTTTACAATTTTTTTGTCTTTAGAAACAAGTACTTCCCAGCAATGTTTGCTTCATGACGGTGTAATGGTGGCAGCTGTGCTCCAAGCTGGTTCTAAAGACTGTACTGCAATGAAGGGAACAACAAGCGAAACTTACATAATGTAGTTCGTCATCAGGTGACGACGTTTAAATAAGACCACACAATTATTTACAGAACGTTAATTCATAAATGCCGAGCCACTTCTTTTATATTCATTGTCATATAACATGAGTCTACACGCAGAGAGAAGGAGAGGTCATGGCAGTGAGGGAAATAGGAGGTAGCTCATCTGATCTTCATGTGAGCAGGAGCTGTTTGAGTGCACTCATGAGTTACTGGTTGGAGTTCTAACCAGTTATTTTGCCTAACTTTTCTATCAAGTTGGTAACTAAGAGCAGTGATAATTAAGGGCGTTTGTCTAGTGTTCATCTTAGTTTCTCATGAACACTAGTTTCCATTTTAGTTTCCCATCGCAGGGTAGCCAGCCTGTCTGAGAACTGGCTAACCTCCCTGTCCTTCCTCCTGCAATCCTCCTCCTTAGTTTCTCATCTCTGTAACCGTTACCTTTGCGATGAGTTGCACGCGTTCACTCGTGGATGATAAAGGGGCTAATGTGAACAGTGGGTCACACCTATAGGACATAGGTCACCTTAATCAAGCCGTTACCTGTGAAATGCTAGCAATACATATTTTCTTGGTGCCACCCTTTTCAGCCGATGTAATCTGGGACTCCCCAATAATACGTTGGATTTCCAGATAAAACGGCCCTTTTTGGCGTGCCTGAAAAAACAGTGACGCAGAAACTCAGACGCAAAAGCTATCGATAGCGATTAAAGCGTTTCAAGAAGTTGCAAGGCAAAAAGCCAGGTCGTATGCACGCTGGCATTGATGCACCGGCTCAACGTGTCGGCGAGAGAGCCTAGGTTAGCAGCCTACCCGCATTGCCTCTCGTCCATGTTATAGCGCCACTTTTTTTATATTACTAGAATTAGTTCATTCGTCTATCCATACTTTTGATGTCTTAGCACAGCATGCTGAATGTCTGTCTGTGTCAGACGATCCCCGATTTCTCTTGCCAAACGCCCCTGGAGAAAATTTGCTGGCACCCACTCTTCCAAAGAGCTGAGCTAAAGGGCAAACTACGAACGGGGCCAAGCGAAAAATGTGTTTTACGACCACGAAGTAGTATGCTCCACGGAGGTGAATTAACACATATACGAAAAGACTAACATCATGCATACATTTATATATATATATATATATATATATATATATATATATATGCGTTTTTGTGTAAGCGAATCCCTTGTAAGATATATTTAGGCAAAAGTAGAAACAGGCATGAACTCACATTTTCAGATATTTAAGTGCTCAATAAAATGTTCGCAATGGCTGCCTTATCGTTTCCCAAGATGAAGTGGCAAAACACTCTGGTTGCCTCAGAAAAGTCTGTGGTGTACAATATGGATGCATACCGCCTCAGCGCTTACGTGTGCACGTGCATGAGTGTGTATTGCGTGTGTAGCGCGTTGCTCCGTAAAACATCGCTAACCATTTACGTAGCAGTACAATGTCAATTGAAGGACTGCAGAGTACCCATTGATATAGAAGGCGGTGAATACAGCACTGAGTCCCGAAGCGCGAGCCGTGTGGAAGCAAGAGCAGAAGTAATTTACTTCCACATTCCCGCTCATGATGTCCATTAAGAATTCGGTAGACCTCACGCAATCTGGGATACGGTGCTATAAATCTAGCAGTTAGCGAGAACCCACCCCCCCTCCCTAACCCTTTGAGATAAGTGCTATGAGGTATGTAGACGTGTTTTTGTAATTAGAGTAGTGCGCTCATCGTGTGCTTACCAGGCAAGTCAATTACACTTGCAATTAAACGTCAATTTGCGTTCTCACGCAACGTGAGCACTGTCGTTAGAGCACTGAAATCAGTTTTATCAAAACATTGCTCAAGCTACGCTGCTAGGATCGGAATATTATTCGTTAGCATATTCTTCCATGGTAAAGCAACGCTTGAATATGGCATGCTGAAATATATATGACTATGGTTATATATGCACTCTTCTGGGAGTGCAAATGCAATGTTTATCAGGCTCTTCTAAAAGGGGAACCGACAATGAAGCCACAACTAATTTCCATGACGCCTGCATTATAGGCGTACATATGCAATGACTATCACCTTGTTGTGAATTTAGATAGCTAGCACTGCAACCACAATTGTCCTCGCATCGGTATGATGCCAGCGTAGGGTCTTTAACAAAGCTGTTTCAAGACCTGGCATGGCTTGGTGTGAATAGATGTGAATACATGACTGCCACGCTTAATGCCGGGGTTCAATTCCTTCTATAGGATTCTGATTTTTATTTCTTCCACTGATCGAATTAAGGCTGCTGATGTTGCGGGATATTTTTAAAGCTCTCGCATTTGAATTGCCAATGGCTGTCCTCGCCATTGCTGGGTACATATAATCAGCGAATCACCTGTGGCGCATACCGGCATACCACGGTGCGTGGTATACGGGTCTGTGCCATACGTGACCGCAGTGGAGAGTGTCATGGCGTACGTGGCAGGAATTTCTTGTTATATATTTATAGCATGACCAGACAGTCATGTTCGGCGCACCTACGCACCCTTCAATGCCAGTTGAATGCCGAAATATGCATATGTAGGGATCTGATTGAGTCTCATCATGAGTCAAAGGTTAACTCACATTAACACAAGTCTGAGGAGCATTTATGCAACGACCGTAGTATAGTTCGATATATTTTTGCGTAGCTTAAGGGAAAATAGAAGTTTCTTAGCAGCGAGGCGTATCAAAGTTTACAGCTGTGCTGTAAGGGTCGAGTTCTGCGCTGTGTTGTTGATGGAAAATGATCAATCACCTTCATAAACTGGCCTGCTCTCAATCCCCACCCAAGTACTCGGCGCAGCCTGATTCACAAGAGATCATGCAACGTGCGGCCGTTACTCGCCGTTCACCCGTACGTTTCCTTGTTAATTTTTGTGGACCATTGTTTGGTTTAGTGGGATTTGCTGTATATCCGTGACCTATACGCGTTATAAGAGCTTTACAGCAGAGCTCTTATGGTGGACTTTTGCCTACAGGCATACAAAGGAAGAGAAAGACACACTACAAAAAAAAGATGAAAGAGAGAGAAAGCCTGGCCATATATGGTATTGTACAGCAGGGGGAGAGAAAAATACAAGTAAAAAGGTTACAGCTTAGCTTAGTTAAGACAACCTGGGTGGCCACCAGCTCTGTTGTGTCCCAGCATTGCGCAACTCAGTATAAGCTGAGCTAATATTTTGGTTAACGTGTTGATTGTTACTTGAAACTAATGTTTTGGGGAATTTATTCCTCGGGATCTGTTACTTGAATTGAAGCATCCTGACAAACGCGGGGTCAATTCCAATTTATCTCAAGGTTGTCATAATATATTTTTCTCGGTGTTACTGTGAATAGACACCGTTTTATTTTTGTAAAACGCGCTGACCCTCCCACCAGAGAAAAAAAACCACTGCATCATGCTAGATAGACGACTTCGAGCCGGTTCCAATAACACATTGGCGTTTACCTGAAGACGGCTGTCGGGCTGTTTCAACATGAGCCTGGTATTTACCCATGAGCTAGCCGAATTTGAGCATGTATACCGACACTTAGCTCCACCTATTAAGCGCGAGGTTTTGAACAGCGAGTCCACTTGCGTCGTTAGCGAGCATATCTCATTAGTAAATACGTGTACTGATTGCTCAAGTGTGCCTCCCGGAGCTCTGCGAAAGTGTTTACCATCCCCAGCCCCATAAGGCGCTGGTTTGACGGGGTTATTCAGAGATCGGGGGCACGCTTGTATATATTCCTGGGAATCACTTCAAGGGCGTTTTCATCCAACTTGCGTAGGTGGAGGCTAGGAGCCGAGTAGAAAACTCGACTTGTTATGAATGCATGCGCTAGCCGCAAGGCGTCTCTGCTACGTAACTCCCCGCGCTTGTCGGAAACCCGGCGGACGGCCCCAGCTGGGTAGTAGGGTATCCCGCCGCGTCTGTCGGTGAAGGTTTTGTCCTTAGTGACAAAGCAGGAGAAGAAGAAAGTATGCGCCAGAGTGCGTAGGGTGTTCTGCCTTGTGGGCGAAGTCTTTTGTCTTCCGTGACAAAGGAGGAGAAGAAGAGGATTTCCACCTGAGGGGTGAAGGCTCGAGCTACAGGCAAGAGTGTGTGTCTACCGCTATCGAGCGAAAACGCGTGGCAACAGCTGCGAGTGTGAAGCCGACGTGTTTCCGGCAAAGAAGTTTGAAGCTTGGAGAGCGGCCAAGTGAAGACGCGAGGTTTCCTGGAAGAGAAACTTCGGGGGCAGCGGAACGACAACAACGCTGGACTTTGAGTGAGTGATTCTCGGAAGAGTATCCTTCAGACTTTCGTTCCAAGAGCTTTGGACTGAATAAGTTTTCTAGCTCTTTAGCCTGTAAGTGTCTTGGTTGTTCAATGCATGCGACTGCATTGTAGTGTGTATTGTTGTCTGTGTCCGTTGTTTCGAGTGTGGAGGATGAAATCGGCAATCTCAGAAGCTGAACCTGTAGTAACGGATGCCGTCTCGGCGTAGCGCGTCAAATGGTCAATGGCTGTTACTATCCACCGGTTTCCAGCAGCACTGACTGGGAGGGGGCCATAAAGATCGACGCCTACAACTTCGAAAGGTGTGGCTGGGCACGGAAGAGGATGTAGTTTACCGGCGGGAGCAGATGTTGGTAGTTTTCTACATTGGCAGGTAGTGCAGGACCCGACGTACCGAGCTACACTAGTGGTAATGCCTGGCCAATAAAACCGACTTGGTTGAGATATCAACCGTCGTAAAACCGCATTAAACAATGTCACTTAGTGAGATGTAGGTTGAGATA